AACAGAAGAGAAGATACTGTTATAACCAGGATCCGTATAGGACACGCTAACCTTAATTATTCATTGCATATAACAGGAGAAAGTGAGTCAGATAGCTGCAGGTACTGTGAACAGTGTTGAACATGTGCTCTTACGTTGTGAGGCATATAATAGACAAAGAAAGCAACTTGTTGGAAAACTAAGAGATATGGAAATCAATGACATTTCAGTTATGAATATATTTCAGAATGCACAGAAACATCTAAGGGTTTATGATTTTCTTCTAAAATATCTGAGAGATACAGAGTTGATTAGAAGAATTTTTTTTATTTTATTAGTAGCATATAATATGTTCGTTCATCGAGGCCTCACACTCCATCCCAGTAGGTGGCGGAAATGCACCTTAAGCTAGTTTGCCATCCACCATTAAACACAGAAGAAGAGGAACACAGGTGCGTACACCTGCCTGCTCTGCTTCCGGTCTACGCGCGCTTCTCCGGCTTCATCGCAGAACTCTCTCGAGCTCTAGACTAACTGCCTGAGTGTCATGGTTCACATATATCTTATTCTCTCTCTCTAATCAATAGCCCTCTTCTGTGAAAGCGAAACTAACAGCGCAGAGCACGCATGCAGGCCTATAAAAGCCTCATACACGTGAGATAGGCCCTCGTTAAACTAATAATACAGTAATTCATCAAATCAAATAAAGACATCGACTTGACTTATTCGTATCCTGCAACACAAGAGCAACAGCATCGTCTGAAGCAGTACATGTAGCAAGCTTTTATAATAGATAAAAAGTAAACCAGTAGATAGAATAGAGAATGCATTTGTTAGAGGGTCTTTTTCTTCTGTTTTACGCATTACATATAAGTGTTTTACATATTATTAATATATTACATATTAACACAGTGTTTGCAGAAATCACACACTCTGTCACTGCTTTTATGATGTGTGTGATTTAGGCCACTGTATTGATCTGACCAAAAAACTGAAACAGGATAATAAGTTACAAAAGTCAGAAAAAAAGTGCAAAAGCTTTCTCTGGGACCATTTCAAAAGAACCATTGTGCCTTATTTACCCCTAAAGGGTGACTGTAAAAAAGATATATGGGGTTATACTCTAACATGAAGAAAGATGGTGTATTTACTTGTGTTTTCTCAGTCGCAGCAGCAATGGCATCATCCAGTCTTCCCCGCAGACGCAACAGCATGGATATACCTCCTGCAATGTAAGAATTATGTCATTAATTCAAAGAATACGAATATTTGGGTCTTTCACCACAGTGTGATTATTACATTACGAGGCAATATTTATAAGAGATCTCCTGAACTCGTGCATGTGAGAGCAAGAATCAAGAGTATAGCAAGAAGAGTCTTTAAGTGTTAACCGAAACTCAAATTGTATTGCAAAGCACAGTCTGAATAAACCCGGCATCTTTCTTTGCTCTAGAGCTGATGTTTTTCGACTCAGAGATGAATTTATGAAACTCTATGAGAGAGATCAACCCCAACTCCAGCAGTGCATAGAGAAACTACGAAAGATCATCAAAACCTTTGAAACAGATTTCAGAGGTTCTACTGAAGGATCTAGAGCTGCAGGAGTGGCGGGGATCATTGGAGGGGCTTCTCTGCTAACAGGATTAGGGTTAGGAGCAGGAATAGCTTTAGCTCCATTTACTCTGGGAGCTTCTGCTGTTATTGCTGGTGCTGGTGCTGCAGGAGTAGGAGCAGTGACTCTCACAGACGCTGGAATTAAAAGTGCGATCTGCAGCTCTAAGAAAAAGGAGCAGGTGCAAGCATTAAGAAAAGGCATTGAATCTGAACTGAAGAAATTTCAGGATAAAATCAAACCTATGGCTGAAAAGATGAAAGACATTAATGAGTGCACTGAGAAAATAGTGAGAGACTTTCAAAAACTAGAGCAGGGTGCAGATGATTTGAGTAAATATTTTGACCGCCATAACATACGGCTAGAAGACCTTGCTGGACTGACAGTGCAGATTAAACAAAATATGCGTTTGCTTGCAGCTATAGCACAGATTTTTGGTGGGTTCAGCCTTGTGCTTGACATGATCTCAGTTGGTGAAAATAGCAGAGCAGTCGCCGACATGAACAAACTAGCAGAAAAACCCATAGCTGAAGAAGTAGATGAAAGTAAGATCAGGTCAAAAGCTGGGAAATTCATTGTTGAAATCAGGAAATTAATGAATCAGTTACAGGATATCGTTGATGGACTTAAGACAACAAAACACAAACTATCAGAATTGTAGGATAAAACCTGACCAAACCATGAAGAACTGAGACACGTGGTTAGTTGCCCCTGACAGAGAGCAGATGGACTCCCTCAACATCTCCTGAACAATCCCGCTGGTCTACAGTATAGCATGCTAACAGCAGAAGTTAACGTAACCGTATATAATTAAGCAGGATTTTTGCTGAAGTTAACTGATATTTGTGACATACAGAGATCCAGATGTACATTTTCATTGCTTTGCTCTCCAGAATTAAATGAATTATTAGTTATTTTTTTAATACATGTATAATATTTTTACAAAATCTATATATTTCAAATATAACATCTTTTAAAATGCACAAACACAAATGCATTCAATTACACCATATTAAGTAAAAAAGGGCTTTTTAATATTTTGTACAGTTTTGTTGCCAGGCTAGAATCTTTGTAAAACGACTAAAGAAGGTAAGCTACATTAAATGCAAGCATATTAATGCGTTTCTATTATATGAGTTAGACAGTGACCACAGTGTATAGAACTGCATGTCATGTGACGGATAACATATGTTTGACTTTTACATAATAACCAGTATAATTGTGTTTGAATTGTTAATGTGTTGCTTTTAATACACTGTGTACAGTAGGACAAGATGTAAAAAAAAAAACATGTCCCTGTAAAATTGTAAATACAACCATCAACCATTAAAACATATTTCTACAAGGTTTGATACTTTTAATAAACCATGAATACTTTGAATATATAACAAATGGAAAGTCTTCTAATAGCACTGCAATGTTATTACATAAATGTGTTATATGAATAAATGGTCAAATGCACAGAGGTTAAAGGTGCAGAGTATTCATTAGCAGAATATTTTACAGAATATATTCTCTTTCTTACCTTTTTATAATCTGAAGAACCTTCTTTCTCCAACAAAGAAACAGAAACAGCTTTTGTGAAACAGAAAGGTTCTTCAGATGTTGAAGGTTCTTTATGGAACCATTTAGACAAAAAGGTTCTTCTATGGCATCGTGAAGCACCTTTATTTTTAAGAGTGTAGGACAGCATTACCAGCTTCAGTTATCACAGTTTGACTAAAAAAAAGTGTTTGTGCTCAATACCAATGCTCAATCAGCTCTTACTCATCTAATTAACTTAAGAAGAAAATATATATATCAACAAATGAGACCAACTTTATATCACAATGACAATACATCCACATTTGTTGCTGAATTTTAAGTTGTTAGGATGCCACAATTTAAGATAGCAGTGAAATTCTTCACTTCTTCGAGTGAGTGGTATTCTGTTTCTTTTGTGGTTTGATTAATGTCAGAGACGCAGGTTTATTAGTCACTTTGACCTACTACTGCAAGACTTGTCCATCTCCTCAAAGGACAAAAGATGCATCCTTTTAAAGTTAGACATGTATAACATTCTATTTGTAAGGCATATAAACATTGTATTTCACTGTGTTGCATCTGTATTATTAATGACGTGTAAATTAGTCATCTGTTAATGATAATGTTTATCAGAAACTGGATCAGGTGAAAAGGTTAAGGAGACATTGAAGTCAGCATGAAACGGAAGTCACCATAGTCTTTTTTCTTCCCTACTGTGACGTATATCCGAGTGGAACAGGTTCTGGAATGTGGGGCGGGATTTCAACCTTCGCCGGGAGTTTGATTGACAGGCGATCTGACCAATCATAACGCCCAATCCGCCGTGTCCGACAAACAACCCAAACAGGAGAGATAAGCGGTGTCTGAAATCACTCACTCATTCACTAATCCCTACAGTGTGTGACAATTGAGTGCACTACATAGGGGATAGGGAGCGGTCTCAGGCAGCTTTAGATTAACGTCAGTGGGCTATAATGTTTTGTCGTCTCTCCGCGGTTGAAACAACATAACTCAAACGTTCATTCATGTTATTTTCATGCTATAACTAGTAGTAAAGAGGAAGAGATGTCCGGTTCACACTTCAACTGAGGCGATAGACATTTCTCAAGATTTTTTTTTTTGTGCTTCTGCTTTAATATCCGTGTTATTTATTGGTGCCTTTGATGGTTGTGTGTTAGCCTACTATAGGCTATTTTTCTTTAAATATCACCTTTCAAATCCTTGTTTTATGTAGATTTGTTACAGCAAGATTCTCAGGAAACAGAGGGCAATTTCTAGTAAGTATAAAACACGATGCTCAGTTTTATAGGGGACGTCTCATACTAAATGCACACTTCATATGAAACCATTTTACTGCAGTTTTCGAGATACGAGACATTATTACACTTTAGAGGGCTAGAAAGACCCCATTTCTAATAAGCAGAAGAAATGAATGGTCATTCAGATGGGATGGCATTTCACTAATTAATATTAATATGATTTAAGAACATTTTTTGGGGATTATAATGAATTCCCTGAAAGGAAACCCAAGAAAAAAACACAATGTTTGCCGTTTTAAAAGAGATGTATTACTGTCATTTTATTACTTCAGGTGATAAAAATAGCAGATAACACTTGAGATTTCAAAAATGACAAACAAACAAATTCACAATCCCTGCACATAAAGATAGATATAAGCAACTGATGATCAAAAGTAAAAAAAGCAAATTCATAAAAGTCATGTTTTCTCTCGCTCGCTCTCACAAATACAGCAGAAACAGCTGGATTCAGGGACTGGATGCCGGAGCTGTACTTATACATGTGTGTGTTCATTTAAACATTCAGATTCACAGGACGATGAAGGCCTGACGCTGATGAATATATATATTGCTTCGATGAAAGACGCGGGCGATGATGATCGTACACACAAACTAAACATCTTGAGCCGGCCGCGCTTCCCCTTTGAACGCTCTCCGACGCTGCTATCAGGAGTAGATGGTGATGACCTCACTTCCTCCTCCTCGCACCAGCAGGACGCGCTCCAGACCCTCGGTCAGCACCTCCAGGAACTCCATATCTGTGAGGATCCCAGTCAAGGAGTGATCAGAAAACTCACAAACACAAAGCAAACCCAACACTACATCGATACGCACCAAAACACTTGCACTAAATACAAGCTGGACCTGCAACATGAAACATGCATTTTAAAAACATGCATACATCGTAACAATGCATTATAAAACAACGGCGCTTCACTTTCAACAGGCAATACAGTGTGATGCATCCAGCCCTATAATGAACAAGCGCTGCTCGGACATCCCAGGATACAGTTCTCGTCTCCTTCCGTGTTCTTGGGCGGCCCGGGCATGTTGAGCAGCACCAGCCGGGCATCATGGGATTTGTTGACGATCACCTCGTTGAGTTTAACAGCGGTGTGCATCCGCCGCACGTTGGACTGATCTCTGTAACAGACACACGTCAGGCGCGAGGAACATGGAGCACAAACCTCCAGCCACATCAACAACTCATCAATAAATAGATTATATTTTAATACATTATAAATGCATGTTTAAACACTATATTATATTGTAATATTATTTATAATTATAATAGTCAAATATAATTATATTTATAACAATAAGAAGCATAAGCATGCTAATATTAAATAGTTTTATAAATATAAATTCAATAAATATCCATTTTCATCATTAAATATAAAAATGTTATGTACTATATTATAAGAATTAAAATATTTATTACTACAACTAAATAATCTTATCTTAGACATTTATATTATCATAAATAATGTTAATTATAATAACAGACTTATAAATTATATTATTATTTACAGTCATTATGTAATAAAATATATTATTTGTTATAAAAAATATTATAAATATGTCAAAATAAAATATTACAATTCAAATTATAAACAGGTATATTTATTTGTTTATTAAATATAAATATTTACTATTATACTATTATTATAATTATAAAGAACATTTCTTTCTGCAATTGTCAATCATACTATAGACATTTTATGAACTCTATTAATTATAATAATATACTTTTTATAATTATAATTAATATTATACATAATATAGAAATGATTTAAAAATATAATTAATTTTTTACATGTTTTATTCTAATCTTTTGGCATTTTAAAGTACTAGAAATAGTTTATTGCACGTTTTAATACTTTAATAGTTTATCGCATGCCATTTTTGTAACCAGAGCTCCTTCCTGCAGTTTAGGAGTGATGCATAAAAGGTTTAAAGATTGAAGTAAGCGGACTCATGGAGCCGCACAGTGAGCAGAGAGAGCAGGAGACTCACGGCCGGA